GATTTTTCATGTTTTCTAGATATCTCATGAAATGTTTGAAAGGAGTGGCTGTCAATTTTATTCTGCTGGAAGGAAATACACGTTTCATATGGGCTGGTCCCACTATTTCCTCATTGTGATGTAATATTCCCCCCTTTTTTAAATACAGTATTTCATAGATCAGTACTGTTAAAAATTGTAGATATATTTTTTAATTAAATAACCAGCATTTCTAATTTTCACAATATGTAGAATGAAGGATTTATCAAGCAGGAGAAGCAGAAACAAAGATTTCTTTTCTGCATTGGAAAAATACCACAGCCCAAAATTTACAGATTTGGACAGGGCTTTTTTTCTAAAAAAAAAAAAAAGGTGCTGGAACTCACACACGTCATACAACCCACCTTGCCTACCCTACAAGGTTCCATCCAAAAAAGGTGCCGGAACTCTGTTCTGGGTGTTCTATGAGAAAAAAAGCCCTGGATTTGAATTACCTCTTGGCTTATTAATGGGTTTTCTATTGATGTAATTGAAAGATGGAGCATTATTATTTTGTTCAAGCTTTAGTGATGTGTTAAAAATTGCCCAAATGACTTCTTTTGTGTAATTTGTTCTCAGTTTTGTCTTTTTTGCCTTCCTTCCTTCCTTCTGTCCTTCCTTTCTTCCTTCCTTCCTTCCTCCCTCATATGAAAGCAATAAAACAAATTAAAAATACCTTGCCTATAAATTGAAGAGGAAATTTTATTATTGTGGATGCTACCTCAAATACTACATTTATTAAGTGGCAAATTAGATCCAATACAGTTTTACTAGTAGATCAATGGGAGGAATTCTACATGGATACAAGTAACCTGTGTGAAGTGGCAGACATGTGCTTATTATATGATTCAGAAATGCACTGGTAGGCAGACAAACCTGGGAAGAAATAGAAGTTAATTTTTTACTACAAAAGATGGTATGCTATTGGGTTCACCATCATAGCAGACAAGAAGACCTCACCCCTTTTTGTACATTTTTCAAGGGGGATGATTAATGAGCACTATTTGCAATGTCAAGGGCTTACTTAGATGAATCCACCTTGTAGTTGACAGTAGTTATTTCATCCAGAGTGGAGAATTTGTGTCACACAATATTACCTTAGATGTCATATGAGGATTTTCCTTGATAGACAAGCAAAAATTTTGTTCTGGTCTGTGATATCCCTTATGCAGATTGACTGACAGTCTGCACAGGGTCAACTTGAATTAAGCATCAGTTTTTGCCACTGGAAGAAGCCATACAAGCATTTACCTTCAACGAAGCAGAACCAAATTTGGATCCTATCAGCTGGCCAAGAATGTCATAATATGGCAGCATATATTACTATGTGAGTCTATGGCTCTGATGTTACTCTGACTGGATTCTGACATTTCTAATTCAACCATGATATGTTGTATAAGCCACAATCAGGTGATTTCTGTATGAAATCCTAAATCATCAGTTATGATTTACAGATCACAATTGGGTTTAAACAATTCTTTGAGCTAAATTAAGCCAATTACATCATCACACAATGTATAACTGTTGTTAAGTGCTTGTATTAATGACTTACTTAAATAGAAATATTTTTGTTGCATTTTTAACTTTACCATGCTTCATGTTATCCATCTGTAAAATGGTCAAATACTTGTAGATTTCATCCCAATGGCTCCTGATGGTTTGAAAATTTGGCAATTCAATTCCATTATTGTTTTTGATTTTATCCTGCTTTATTGCTACTGTAGCATATTTCTCCAGACCAAAATTCATTGCTATATCTGTGCTAAAAATTCTTCCGGTATTAGTCAGTGATTGGATTTTGATTTCTGATTTTCTATAAAGGTTCAGATTATTCATATGAAGCAAATGTGAAATTTTGTTAGCATTTTTGGCTGTTTGGAAGCCAAGATTTGTTTTCTTCCAAATCATTGAAAGTGGGATCATGGCAATAACATTTAGTAAGATAGATAATGAGTCACCTGGAAGATGACTCTTTTGCTTTTTTGGACACTACTTTCAATATTGTCAGTTGTCTTCTTTCTTCTGGTAATCCTACATATGTCATAATTTTCTCTTTTAATTCTTCTTGTCAGGGGCTCAGTTCACAGGTTATTTCAGTGCTGGCATGTACTGGCTCTGTTATAACTTCTAAATTATAGTTTCTGTAGGTCATATCAGCTTTTTCCTTTATATTTGCAATTGTTATCCAAGTTTCTTCTACTACTGTTTTAAGGGCTTCCATTTTTCACTATTTTTCACTATCACTTCACTAGTTTCATTATTTTTCTGAATTTCTCCCAGTTCTGCATCCCTGAATATTTTATTTCTGATAATGAATTTGAGTCTGGATAAATTCTTTTCCAATGTTCAAACATTCACTTCAAGCATGCTCGCTTTGATGGATCCAATTCATAATAACAGACCATAACGGCGCAATTTTCAAACAGAGCATCCTTTTGTCTTGTTTGTGGTGGTTGTTCTTCCAGTAATCCTATAAGGCTAGTCCCTGGCTGCCCAACCATAGCTCCTGGATCCCATTGGCCATTTATAGAAGATGCTCAGGAATATAACATCTGCCACTCTCCTTGTTGACCCGGGTGATCACCAATCCAGGATTTTTTTCAATGTTTTCTCACTATATTAAATGGTTGATCGATACCCTTAATCTGGCTCCTCTGCTAAGACCTGTCTGGTTTGGATGACCTTTGTGATAAAATATACTAACATCAGCAGAGCTCTTGACTTCATTAGGGAACCACAACCTTCCCTCCACTATTAATGCACAAGTGCAGGTAGCTATCACTCCAGTGGTGGGATTCAGCCAGTTTGCACCAGTTTGGTAGAACCGGTAGCTAAATTTTGTTGAGTTCAGAGAACCGGCTGAACCCATGCTGCTTCTGGAAGTCTGTTCTAGGCCTCGGAGGCCTGGAGGAGCTCTCCCAGGCTTAGAATGGCCACCGGAAGTGCGTTGATGTCACTTCCGGAAGTCGGTTCTAGGCCTCGGAGGCCCAGGCCTGCATCCATGCAGAGAACTGAATGTTCAGGTATTTGAATCCCACACTGTACCAATCTCTAGGTAGAAATTTACAGAAAATTCAGGTTAGCCTATTCTTTTCCTCTCCCTCCTTAGTTGGGCCTGCAGCAGAGGGAGGAGAAGACAAGCAGGTCCCCTGCCTGTTTGAGAATATATGGAAGATAGAACACACAGAGTGTTTCTATGTTGCTTTAGTTTTTTTCAGAACACTTTATACTTTTGTTTATGTATATGAGTAACAACTTTGGAAATTGAAATAATAATCATAGAACTAGAGCAATAAAGCTGAAAATTGTAAACACCAGATGATGTAAGATTTGGATCAGGTCCCACACTTCATGTTCTTAAATATTTATGCCATCTTATTCAAATATTAGGGCAGTGGTTCTCAACCTTTTTAATGCCGCAACCCCAACCGGTCGTAAGTCGAGGACTACCCAACTGGTCATAAGTCGAGGACTTTCCCTGCCCGGGAGCACCACCCACATGCATGGTGCCGCCCCCAGAGCTGGCCGAGGCATAGCTGGCAGGGGGCAGCAACGGCGCAGGGCGACCACCGGCTGGGCCACCAGCTGGCCCAGCCCAAGGAAGGTAAGGCACCCACCGGGCCCCACGCGCGCCAGCAACCCTCCCTGCGCCTGCCGGCCTCCCACCTCCCACCCCTGGGCCTCTTTTACTTACATTTTTAGTAGTTGCTCAGCAGGGAGGGGTGGAAACTTCCAGACAGCTTGCCTTCGCTGCAAACAACTTGCAGCACCATTTGCAGAATGGGACTTTTGGCAAGCTCAGCAGGGCAGAGACAGCCTGGACAATTCCTATTGGCTTTTGAAAGCCAATAGAATTAGACTCTATTCAATAGAGTCTATTCTATTGGCTTTCAAAAGCCAATAGAATAAAAGGGAGTAGCACAGCTAAGGAAAAGGGGAAAAAAATGACAGACTGCGTTGTTTGGCAACCCCCGTGAAATGGTCGTTCGACCCCAAATGGGGTCCCAACCCACAGGTTGAGAACCGCTGACTTAGGGTACTTGAGCTCAGTGACTTTTTTGAACTTTTCATTAGCCCTAATTGAACAATTTTTTTTTACAATTCCTTCATGTTTGCCTTCAATTACACCACCTCTCATCCTTGAAGTCTCATCCAAAGCATCTTGAGAGAAGGTTGTTTAAAAAAACATGCATTTGTTTTGAGCCACCTGGGTGTGGAGTAGGTCAATGTCAATCATATCTCAAGGCAAGAAGTTATATGAGGACACAGCTTGGTGGAAGGAGACTACTGAAGCCATTTGGAGCATGTGAGAAGCTGACACATGGTAAAGCACTGATGTGGTAAGGCTAAATGTTTTACTTACATCATTTCAATCTTTGAACTAAACAGTTTGAACTATAGAAATATAGCAAAGATCAACTTTCTATCTCCTAGAAAAGAAGCTTGACCATTTTGATACTTTTTGGATTAGACATTGAAAGTAAACATCTTCAGGACTATATTCAACGCCCCAATTCCATCAGATGAGATTCAGTGCATTTTTTCCTAATTTAATTCATCCAAGTCATCTAAGGAGTTTTGCACTTCTTACCTTATTCAAAGGGATTGAGTCTATGAAATGAGAGATCTATATAGATTATCATATTAGTTCAGCAACCAAAGTGGGATTGGAATCCAAGTCTAAATGAGTTCGGCTAAAAGAGTAAAATAAGCAATAAATGGAAAACAGTAGGTCCTCCTTCTGCTTTCAACATGCAGGAAGTGTGTAATTGTAAGTAGTCAGAAGGTTAGTTACTTCCACAGTTACTGTATCAGTCAATGTGTTGTTGTTTTTTCACTACACAGATTAACCATGAGAATGATACTACTCTATAACAACAAATGACGCATTATACCCAGGAATTGTTTATTTTTTCTCTCTCTCTCTGAAGAGATCTGCTTTCCCCAAACAGAAACTAAATAAAAGACAAATGAGTCTATACTTTCAGCATAGAGATCCATTATGCTTTATTTACATGCATCACACTTTATTTTACAAACTAGATTACCGTTGAGAATGGAGTACACAAGGCAATATCTACTAACATCAAGTGGAGTTAAGCTCTGCACCACTATTTCATTTGCAAAAGGGAAAGATTTCCAAATCAAACTGACATCCAATTGTTATGTAGTAAGGTAGTATATTCACCTATGTCAGCATTTGGTTTCAGAAAAGCCTCCTCTAAGTTTATGAGTGTCAGCTTTCAAATGAAAGTAGCTCATACAAAAAGTAAAAATTGTGTATCCCTGTAAAAGATGGCCATGTACTAAGGCAGTGATAAAATATATTCTTCAAAAGTATGTGGCTCAACAGTGAAAGAAATAATCCAGACAAGACAGTTTACAGATACTGTATACATGTTTTGTCCACTCATACAACTTTTTTTTAATTAATTAAAAAAAAGTTCCATACATGAACCCAAAATGTACAATATATCCCTCATCCTGGTCCCCTTCCATATCAGCTGATATTTCTGATACACATCATGCAAAGAATGTAATGAATGGAGATTGACTGCCAAGAAGGTATGTCATTTTCAAGAGCAACCTATTCAAAATTTTTTTTCTTAAGATAGATATGATGGACAAGGAAGTTGGTTAACTTATAATTTAGAAAAAAGTATTCCTGCAACAATAAAAACAAAGATGCAATTTTAAAAAAAGAATGGTATGAGCTATTCAGGAGGCAGCTAAAAAGAAATTGCTTGTCTTAATTTCAATTTTTAACGAGTTCATAATTCAAAAGTTAGAGTGATGGGAGTTAGTTATTTAATTCTATTTTACAAGGAGAGTCCCAAAAATCAATCAACAATCTTAGAATAATGGGAGTCTAATTCACGCACATAAAAAGGAAACTCCTCAAGAATGTGATCTCATGTTTAAGTGCTTTATAGCAGGGGTCCCCAACCCCCAGTCCGTGGACCAGTACCAGGATGCGGCATGCCAGCAACTGGTCTGCACAAACAAGCAAAGTCCTATCCATGGGATGCAGGCAGCACACAAAACCACACTCCCTCCGGTCCACAGAAAAACCTCTCTCCATGGAACCGGTCCCTGGTGCCCCAAATGTTGGGGATCTTTGCTTTATAGCACTGGAATACTCAGAACTATGTTCCGAAGTGAACGCCTAGATGTTAATTGATGGACAGTTGGGATGATATATGATTTGCAAACTCAAACTGTTTATGTAGAGCTTTTGGACTACTGTACTACAAGGTTAGGAGTTGACATTTGCCTTTTAAAAGATGGAGCCTTGTTTTGAAGAGTGTCCCAGCAACTGTATTAGCTTTCAGTGAAAGAAACATGCAATCATTTGGCTTGTTGGCCGAATTTAAAAGTTTTAAGTTTAAAACACATTGGTTGGGAATTCTGTTTCGTAGTGCGCAAATCAGAATTCCCAACCAACATATTTTTTGGTTGGCTGGGGAATTCTGGAAGCTGTCATTCCCAATACACCTGGAAGGTATCTGGTAGGGCAGTGTTTCCCAAACTTGACAATTTTAAGGCATGTGGACTTCAACTCCCAGAATGCTGGCTGTGGAATTCTGGGAGTTGAAGTCCACATGCCTTAAAATTGTCAAGTTTGGGAAACACTGTGGTAGGGGAACATTGGTTGCTCCTTGAGCCTGGACACCTCCCTTCCTTGCTCCTTTTTCCTGCATAAAATGAGGAGTTAAGCAGCTTTCACCTGATTGTTCACAATATTTTCATTCATTAGCAATTTTCAATTTGGTGTGAAAAAGTGACATCAATGTAAATTTGTAAATGAATAAATGGGGATGTACCACTTGATCCCAACTGAAAAACTGATTTATTCGCATTATGCTTATACAAACAAACATGGACCAAATTATGCAGACCTCTTGGATTTAAAAATGTGACGGTAAGCCATTATGTAGTCAACATTGAATGTGAAAGTGTCTGTCTCCTGCACTGGTAGTCAAGAAGAAGGGATTTCATGACAGCCCATTCCCATAATGCTAATGCACACGGGCATTAAACCTTTTTGGTCTGAGGGACTGTCTGATGATTTTATTCCTCTAATAAAAGCCTCATAATATGTGACATATTGCCATTTGATCTGTGAGCCATACAAAGCCTTGAATCCTTGGTTTAGTATTATACCTGAACTAGACCAGTATTTGAGGATTTATTGGCTGCTTGCTTTTGTCTAGCACCTCACTCCTTTAGGCTAATAGAAACAGCCTACTTTATAACTAGAGAAGAAAATTGGGCCACTCACTATATATTTTGTGGCCATCCTCCAGGCAAAAAATAATACAGAAAGCTTAAGGCTATAAGCAGCAGTCCATTGGCTAGCAAGTATCCTTGAGAGCAGAATTTTGAGATTGGGTTCCCAGTTGGGGACAGTACATCAAATATGGAGTTATTTATATTGTGAGAGGCAGAAGGACAAACAATAGGAAAAGAAGTCACACAGAGCAAATTGATGGATTTCCGTGCAATTGCTTTACATTAAAGGTTCCTGTGACTGAGAAAATAGTGCAGCATACTATGTTCCCTAGCTTGGTCTTCAACTCTAGAAAAAAAATTACTTGCTAATCAGCCTAGTCAAGAGCCTGTTAGTTCCAATGCTGTGAAGTGCAATCTAATTCACAAGGAGGGCGATGGTGTGGGAAACATTTCTGTAGCCTCTGAGACACTTGTGGGTGAACCTGAAAGAATGAGGCTTACATTCGCCCCCATTGACTCTAATAGTATCGGAATTTCAAATTACTATTTTTTTTTCAGAGAAGTGCAGTTTTATTGCAGTTTTTATCCATTACGATCCTAGGATTTGAATTTATCTTGTTAAAGCCAATGTTATCAAATTGCCTGTCATACCACTATCATGGCTGAAGAGGTTTGTGATTTGCCTTCCCCCCCCCCCCAGGAGGATGCTTTGTTACCATCATCATCATTTTAATATGTGCCTGGAATGCCATGACTGTCCCTAACAATCCTCTCAAGGAACTATAAAAATTCAGGTCACAGTTGCCTTTTACATTGCATCAAGCCAAGGATTTATATAGGTCAATATTATTTTCCATTGATGGGCAGCATATTCCCAAGAAGGCAGAACCTGAAACACGTTATATAAATGTCCGTGCCCTATCACTTTGCTCTGTTTCTTTCCCCTTCCCAATTTGCTTTTTATTAGTGAAATAAAAATATTTAAACAAGTATAGATGCTAACTGAGCAGATGGAGGTTTTCCTATTGAAATCTGTATGCGACCATCCGCGAATACAACAGCAGCTTAAATGTTACTCTTAATTGCTTACTGTTACAAACATGCAATCTGATTAATGCATGCTTACCGTAATGTCATATTGGGTTTAATATTTAATCTCAGGACAGTCTCAAAGCCTTACTGATATTTATGGTGGGTACTGAATTTGATTGAAATCAATGGGATTTAAAACCTGTATGAATTTGGCCAAGTTACAAATATGGTTCTTTGTTTTATGTCAATTAATCAGCAGGGGTGGGGGTGGGGATGACAAAAATAACTGTGACAATATCACAGAAAGGTTGCATCTTATGTACTTGTGTCAGATGTTGAAATGCAAGTACATAATTATCGCATTTATGTGATGATGTCACTGCACATAGGCTGTCATTGCATCCTGGTCACCTGATTAAAATTAGAGCTGAGAAATGAAGAATCTATTCCTTGTTCTGCATCAGCTTCCTGATATATTGCATTTTCAAGTATTGAAAGGAAACCCAGTCAAAGTAGAGGAAACCATAAATTTTGTACAATAATGGATTTTTTTTTATGCACAGAGTTTCTGTTAAGAAGACAGACAGAAACTTGGAAATAAATTGTCCATCACCAAATACATTTTCATTTCAAAGAACAAACAACAAACACCCCAAAATATCATCATTGGCTTAATTCACATATAATGATGTGCCAGATACTCATCTGTAGTAAAGGCATGTGAGCACATTCTTAACTAGCTTTGGTAATAGGTACCTGTAACTGAGTCTCTCAAGATAAGTCACTACTTTTCTCAAGCCCCTGGAACAGATGACATTTTTATAAGGTATTCCTTTCAAGGAAGCCCTTTCCAATGTGAAGAACAAGCACACACATTGGTTCTATATAATTAAAGAGATATGATAAACTATGCCCTGCCATAGACAAATATACCACCTTAATTATTAAAAAAATAGTCTGTATTTATTTGGAAAATGATAAAAATCATTTAACTAGTTTGAAAGTGTATATTCTATGAGCTATTTAGAACCACAACAGCACAGAATTGTCATCGTTTTAAAGTTATGAACTGTTATGACTTCATGTGTTCATCTAGAGAATAGCGCAGCACAAGGAGGAGGCAGCTACAGTACAAAACAAAACTTTCATCACACAAGGAGTTGTTATTTCACCAATATTACCTCAGAAGTTGGAAAAGAAGAGCAATATGGGGCCCACCGATGTATATGTGTGAATGTGCTTGAATGCCTGCATGTGCACGCGCAGTGAAAGGTGGCAGCTGAGAGGAATCATACCACGTTGGTAGATGATTCATGTGCTGGTGGAAACTCATGCACTGAAACTTTGGGTTAAAATGCTAGTCTGTTCTCTTAACAATCATGCATAATGATCTGTTTCTGTACATAATAAAATATATTTATATATTTATATGCATTCTGCTTTTATGCCAAAAAAAGTTCTTCATATATCACTTTGGAGAAATATGTATATGTTGTCCTAAGCCAAAGTGTCTTCACACCATTAAAAAAAAAAAATTAAAACGTACCATCAGGTTTTCCCCTATTTCTTTCTTCCCTTCTTTGCCCTACCTTCACATGAAAAATACCAATAAAAAGTAATTAAACAGGACTTGCACAGCACCATAACTTTCAGTCGTTATTACTATATAAATTTACAAAAAGAAATCCCTATAAGCAAAATATATAAAAACTACTTTGTTTTTCAATGGAATTTATCCAGTTACAATCTACGCTCCTATGAAAAGCTCTCTGTATGGATTTTCCCTCTCTGTGTCTCCTTCCTAACCACCTTTTTCCAGTTTCCACCATGTATCACAAGAGGGAAAGAATAAGGAAGAGAAAGATGAATAAATGATTATGAATGAAATAAATCATCCAAGCCTTGGATATTACAGATACATAAAACTCCGTTCTCATGCAATATATTCATTTTTTTCTTTTAGGTTTTGTGTTGTTATTATTAATAAGAGTAATAATTTGAAAGCAAGCCGTTGCCTTCTATGTGGTTATATTTGGCAAGTGGTAAACAATGCACCTCAGACTGGCCAATTGCTAAGCTATGGGAACAAACGAAAAAGCAAACATTTACTGCAGCATTTGGGCAAAACTGCTCGCATAACCCTAGGCTAGATTTAGATAGGAGTTACTGATTCCCCACAATGAAATGCCCTTTTTCTCTCACACCGAATGAACCCTAGTTAGGATGCAACATTAGTGGTGGCTAATTTTGTGAGGTAAAATCCACCCTTTCTTGGTACCAAAAATAAAAAGAAACACATAGAAGATTAGGAAAATATTTGGTTGGAGAGTTGTAGGGACTGGTTGAGAACTAATGAATTAGCTAACCAGTCCCCACATAAAAACACCAAAGCAAATACAGTCGTTACGTTATCTTACAAACTAACTCTTGAATTCAACTGGTTGGTTGTACTCTAAAGATTGCAGGAGTCAACAAAGTGTTCAGTGGCATCTTAAAGAGCAACGCTTCATGACACCCTCTGTCGTTGCATACCTGGAATGCTATCCTGAAGATAGAAACAAAATGCAGAGGGCATTGATACTTCTTGCATTGCATTTCTCTCTCCCCTTACTGTTTTCCATTCCTTGCTGTCCCTTACCATCTTGTCTTAGAATCCGATCCAAGTCATACCCAATTTGCTAAATCTTTAAAGTGCCACCATACTCGTCACTTGTGTTGCTGCAACAGTTTAATGCAGCTCCTCCTCTGGAAACTGTATTGGTATTCAAGTGCTGTTGATATTTCAAGCCCATGTTGTGCATTTAATTTTCATAAGGAATTGGCACATTAGAAGGGGTAAGTAAAGGAGGAGGAGAAAAAGAAAAAAGCATCCCTCACACCTTAAGAAGGGTGGGCTGGGGGAAACCCTGAAGAACAAAAGCCAACCTAAAAGCATCCTGCAACCCATCACCATTTTGGAACGCCATGTACTGATTGACAAGCACACTACTGTAAAGGCTACAGTGTTTTGAAACAGAATGGTGGCTGAACCAACATATCCTCAAGTTGGTGGTGGATCACCCTACAGTAAGAAAAATTTGCATACTTCAAAATGAGTTCAGTTCCAGATAAGTCAGTTCTTTCCTCAAGTTCTGGTGCTCACTAACAGTCTCTGTTTCATTAGGAAAAGAATGCAGGGTTCACAAATGCTGTAAACGACATCCCTGTCTTTGATGACAGTTGATTTTGGCAAGGATTTTTTTTTCTTTAAGATTCATGTTGGATGAAGGGCCTGGAAGAAAAAAAAACGACAAAATAATATTTAGTTAGTCATTAACCACAAACTGTTGAGGAAAGCAAATAATCCTAAGCATGAATTTCCAGCAATTTTTAAGCCATCTCAAGGAAACCTGCATTTGTTATTTTGCAGGTATCTTTGATGCTGGTGCAAAAGCAGTGACAATATATCAGCACAACCCAAAAAATTATATCCTAGCTATAGGATTGTTGTTGTTGTTATTGTTGTTGTTGTTAATTAGGAAATCATGATGCGTTCTACTAATAAATACATGATAATGTTTTTGTTTGAGGGTTCCTAGCAGGGTGGATAATAAACGATGATTTTTTAAATTTAAAACAGATTTTTTTTATTTTTATCAAATTTATTTTAATAAAATGCTTTTGAAGTAAATATCTAAATATTGTTTTCTATTTAAGATACATTAATAATTTAGTTTATTCAGCATGAAATGGAGCTTAATTATGTAGCACGAGGCTGTATATTCTGCAATATTTACATTTTTGGTAAACTCATTCAATGAATCCAAGCTCTACAAGCTGAGATAACATGCACTGCATTGATGCATTCACACAATTTCACAGTAACCATGAGATAAATCATAAAACAAAGTTCAGGAATATTCCTTTAATCCCATTGTTTTGCAAATCTATGTACATTACAGACTATATGATTGTTTGAAGAGAAATGCATCTATACCAGGCTCTAAGTGTTTTAGTTAAAAAAAAGAATTTGAGTAGTTTTCTAACTATGTGTGATTAACCTATTAACCTAAAATTGGTTCTGATATCGCTCTTTTACTAACATGACAGCTTATTATTCTAAATAGGAAACCTTCATTTTGTTTGCAAATAATAGTATTAAACATTCTAACCACCAGCAAGAATGAGTCCTTACATTTAAAGAGCACCTGTCATTTCAGATCCATCATGGCGGCACCTATTAGCAGACATCCCCTCACCTGCTGCCTGCCAGTCCCTCACCTTGTTGTGTTACTGCCACATCACCAGCTGTCCCATTAAAGTGAATGGGACTGTGGGTGAGTCAACAGCAGGTCAGAGGAAGAGCCGCTGTGGGACAGAGATGACAGTTGCTCTTTAAAAATTATGATTTAAATCGAGTTGATTTAAATCAAACCTTTTTACTAGTGATTTAAATCATGATTTACTGGTTCCTAGTAAATGAACAAAGTCATGCAAACTGTATTATGTAATATTCTTTATAAGCTATGCTTCTGGGACCCGTAAGCATTTAATAAGTAACTTCAGACATTACACAATTATGCGCAGTTCTGTTTTTCACACTTCAGCTGCCATAGCTATACCTTAAATACAAAAGGCACATCTTCAAAAATGGCAACTACTTTCAAATGCATCCTAGAAGAATTCTGGCAGACAAGCTTGGAGAATAATAACAAATATTCCATATTGATATAGTCAAACTTCATTATTACATTTTTTTCATTTTCCTCTCTCACATTTTAAAACAATTTGTTATAAGATCAAATGTAAGCATCAGAGAGTTGGGTTGGTCTAATATATGGTAAATATTTGTTCACCCATGTAAATCAGTATGAAGATGCATTTAATTCTTATGTAACTGGACTTATCCTAGACCTGTATTAGCCACCTTGATTCAGATTTTTTCTGGGAGGGGAGACCTTTTGACATTTCAGTCCATTAATTTCTGCCCCATCACAGAGAACAAATCTCTTTCTCCCTAGAATCCACCAACATCATTTGGCTTTCTGAGGTCCATTTGCTGTTCCCTCGGATCAAAAAGGGAGAGCAAAATTGATAGTTTTGATGCTCTCCAGATGCTGACTGGGAGAGATTCTAAGGAGACCTACAAAATTTGCAGACCAAAGAATTCACTATTACCTGCTATACTCCATTAGCTTGGGGATGGATGAGAGAGTGAGAAAATGAGAGGAGAGAAGCAACCAGGAATTAAGGAGAAACTTCCTAAAAGTGAGGACAATTAACCAGTGGAACAGGTTTTGCCTTCAGAGGTTGTAGGAGGTGCTTCATCACTGAAGGTTTTTAAGAAAAGACTCGAAAACCACCTGTCTGAAATGGTATAGGCCAGGGGTAGGCAACTTTGGCTCTTTTAGGACTCATGGACTTCAACTCCTAGAATTCCAGAGTCAGCTGTGAGTTGAAGTCCATGAATCATAAAAGAGCCAAGGTTGCCTACCCCTGGTATAGGCTCTCCTGCTTGAGCAGGGGGTTGGAATAGAAGATCTCCAAGGTCCCTTCCAGCTCTATTTCTGATTGATTGATTGATTCTGGAGAGACCAACTATGGATTGGTTTTGGAAGGCAAAATGGCTCCTTCTTCAACAGATATCTACATATATCATTAATCTATGTTTATAATACGTAGTCTATGTATTATGGTCAGCTTGCTCCCCACCAGTTCTTATTTTCTTGGCCAATGCAAAGCAGTTTGAAAAAGAACATGTTGAACAAAAACCATGCAACTAACATAAATATTGAGGCTACAACTGCCAGCCAGCCAATGAAGTGATACATTTTTTCCTCCACTCCTGAAGATAAAGAAGGGGGAAGGAGGAAAGGAAAGCAGGTGCTCTTTGAATGAACATGAATAATAGTGAAAACGACTTCCTTGCCTCCTACCAGTTTTTGCCTGCTCTATCTGTTGTCCTCTGAATTGCTTGCTGTGAATAAGTTGGGGAATGAAATCATTTTTCAACAGCTGTTGCAAGAATGCCTGCATTTCTCCTCACTTATTTACACTTTTGTATCTTCTCGGATGCAATACTTCTGAGTACATTAGTCCGCAGTGGTGCTACCTGATGAGTTTTAACTGGATTGTTCTGTAGTTTTCACTTGAAAGATGCTCAAGCAGATCACTGGGAAAGATTTTGTGAAATTCTGGAACCTCACTTTCAACAAAACCTGCATGCAACGTAGATTCTTTGTGACGAATTGATGACACCTCCGTTACAGTGGGACGGACTCAATATCACCCTTTGGGTTGGATTCTAAGATACATTCATTTAAGCAAGTATCGGGGGGAAAAACATTTTCTATGCATTCCTTTCTAATACAAAAATTCATTAGAGAAAATTGCAGGTTTCTAGTTGAAGAATGTGAGAATGGGGCTTAAGGGCCTAAAAAGCAACTAGCATGGTTTCCTGAAATAGCCTTAAATTAACATTTCAGCTCAATTTGCAGCTAAATCTCCTGAGCATTCAAGAAAGCTTAGGAAATGCAAACCAAAAAATATATTTCTATAAGTTTCCTATTTTTAATGATCACATTATTAAATTTTTAAACAAGAAAGGTAAAAACTAACAAGAACTAATAATTAAGTTGAGAGAAAGAGAAAGAATAAAGAAGGAAAGTTTTCTCTGACCTGCCTATAATATGTTTAGCTTAAGAATACAAAACCTTATGTCTGAATATTGTACATTTAAAGTGAAACCAGTGATGCAAGTTAAAATTTGGGAGATTTTATATATGGTTAACTGTAGCAACACTAGTGTACAAAGATAGAGAAATATTCAAATACCCACAACGGAGGAAATGGATTGTGAAGGCAACAAAATTAGCAGAAATGGCAAAAGTGAACTGTCCACTCAGGGACTTTTATATGATAAGGACTTTATAAAATAGTAAGGGCTTTTATAAAAGACTGGAAAATTTTTATAGATCTTTTACTGAAAACGGGAAAAAAGTGAAATGGTGATTTTTGGATTTGAGGATTGAAAAAAACACTCAATAGGGGGCTAAAGAGACTATTGTAATGTAAAAGAAGGAAAAGAGATTATAAGTTTGTAACTACTGTAAAGAAGGTCAGAGACATTAAACAGGGGTCCTCAACCTTGGCAACTTTAAGATTTGTAGACTTCAACTCCCAGAATTCCTCAACCAGCAAAGCTGGCTGAGGAATTCTGGGAATTGAAGTCCACAAGTCTAAAAGTTGCCAAGGTTGAGAACCCCTGCATTAGAAGACTGCTTCTTCAATTAACTTTTTTTCTTTAACTGTATTGTTCTCTTCATTTTTTCCTTTTTTTTTCTCTTTACAAATTTCTATATAAAAATGTGCAATAAAAATATAACATATGGGGAGGATTATATGGCATTATTAACAACCTCAGGCTTGAAGCCAACATGAATATTGAACCTCAGTATGATCTTCAGTAAGGTTACCAAAAAAATTAACCAGAAAAACCACTAAACTCCAAATATTTCTGTGTCTATGCACACTTATATCAACAATAATTATGTGGAGGAAATCATTCAACGAAATATGTATATAATATTAAAATTGTTGCTAAGAGAATCTACTACTATTATAATTTTAAGCAGATTGTAAAAAGAAAGGGGAAAAGCAATGGCCAAAAGATTTTTTAGTTGGTTCTGTAAGAGCTTAGGTGATTAATACTTTCCTAAAATCCACTAGCTTCTACACCTGTACTAATTAGGTCAGTGGTTCTCAACCTGTGGGTCAGGACCCCATTTGGGGTCGAACGACCATTTCACGGGGGTCGCCAAACAACGCAGTCCGTCATTTTTTCCCCCCTTTTCCTTAGCTGTGCTACTCCCTTTTATTCTATTGGCTTTTGAAAGCCAATAGAATAGACTCTCTTGAATAGAGTCTAATTTTATTGGCTTTCAAAAGCCAATAGGAATTGTCCAGGCTGTCTCTGCCCTGCTGAACCCGCCAAAAGTCCCGTTCTGCAAACGGTGCTGCACCAGTTGAATAGTCCTCGACTTATGACCGGTTGAGTAGTCCTTGACGTACGACCGGTTGGGGTCGCAGCATTAAAAAGGTTGAGAACCACTGAATTAGGTAGTACTGAAAAGCTCTGCTGCCTTTTGTACCAACAGTTGCCTCTTGCTCTAACTCTTAACTTGCAAGGTCCTTCCCAAAAGGCAGCATCACCTGTTGTCTTTAACCGCTTTCTTTGATTCTCAGACCCTAAATACAATCACAAAAATGGTGCTGGTTTACAGGATTATTTCA